GACGTTAAATAACAAAAAATTACAAAAATTCTGCTCTCAGCAACACAAATCTTAAACACACAAATATAAGATAAAACAGCACACAGAAAAATAATAGAAACTGTAAAAAGCCATCTTCATAAATATCATGTTTCTAGTAGTCGTTTGGTTTGACAAGGTAATGACAAAGAATCGTCTGTTATAATAAACAAGTCGCCATTTTGTCTCAACGAACAAACCAATTCAAGTGTTTGTAGATTATTATCTAAATGTTTCTATACCATGAGTTTATTCTCACTAGAAGATATTTCTCTATGGGAAATACATAATTCAATTTTGCCAAAAATTTCTCTCGAATTACAAGGCTGGAGTTCTTAATGCGTTCGTATTTATGGATAATTTATTGAGGTTTTGTGTTCGGAGATTAGGTCTGATTAATAGACTTACAAAAAGGGAGTGGAAGCCATTTTCCTTCATATTCTCCTGACAATGCTCCCTTATTATTATCTTGTATATCTCTTTTTCTTTAAAAAATATTGATAATTTTAATATCAATTATATATGAAAATACGAAACTATTATAGACGCGTATGATTCTTCAAAAAAATTAACAATTACTACTGCCCTTACTGTAATGGAAAATTTATGGGAGGGCCTGGCTCATCAGTAGGTGAACCCTCTCAGCGGTTTCGCCAGTTTAATCTACCATACCGCTGTTATATTGAATTTTCGATCTTCCTTTTATAGTGATGCTGATGCTAGACTCTTGGAATGGGTATTTTAGATGAACTATGAACATAGGCTTTGAGGACAGTAGATAGATTAAACTGGCGAAACCACTGGGAGGGTTTACCACTGATGAGCCAGGCTCTCCCATTAATTTTTCCATTGCAGTAAGGACAGTAGAAATTTTATAATTTAAAAAAAGAATCTTGCGCGTCTAAAATAGTTTCGAATTTTGATAACAGATGGCGCGCTAGTGCATTACTTTCATTGACACCTTAATTATATATCAACGTTTGCTGGAGGAATGGAAAAACCCGTAGAATTTTGACAGATACGACCCAGGATCGAATCCCGTTCTGGACTTTTTTTTCTGTGGGAAATTGCTTTAATGACCACGATTCTTGTAGAAGTCCAACCTCACCAGTGAGTACAAGTAACCAAACGGGGTTCTGACACATTTATAAGTTCTTAAAATCGAATTATTTACTTCATGTAAAACGAAATTTAACAAGTTTTACCGCAAATGTTTCTTTTGAACGAAAAATCGTAATTTATTTTAAGGAGAAATAACGATTATTTCTAACCTTAGGGATGAAGTATGAAAGGATGAATTGTGAAGAGTAATGATAAACGGAAAAATAAAGTGTCCAGGGATGGGAATCGAACCCACAGTGTTCCGCTTACCGGGCAGATTTACAAACGGAAAAATATGTCCAGAGTAGCCTAGTGGACATGGCATCTGCCCGGTAAGCGGAACACTGTGGGTTCGATTCCCATCCCTGGACACTTTTATTTTTCCGTTTATCATTACTCTTCACAATTCATCCTTTCATACTTCATCCCTAAGGATAGAAATAATCGTTATTTCTCCTTAAATAAATTACGATTTTTCGTTCAAAAGAAACATTTGCAGTAAAATTTGTCAAACGTCGTTTTACAATCATAAGCCGCATTATATTGTGTTATACTTAATACTTGTGTTGAAAATGTACTAACAGTAAAAGCAGACGCTTACTACCTACCGTACATATTATTGGTTGACAAAGAAAAACTTCCGTGGGTACAAAGGATCTTTAGGACTTTATTTAAGCCTAATCGATAAAATAATTACAGAAGAGAGCAAAAATAAAACAACAATAAAGAAAACAGCAGTAGCAAAATCACCAACTGCAGCACGGTGAAGGAAAGCAGGAACAGAACAGGAGATAGAAGTTGGTAGAACCTTCTAAGATCTTCCAGGAAGTACACCGGCGGTAAGCAGCAGTCCGACCTCTTGAGACAGCAGCGTTTGCTTGGAGTACACCACGTATCTTCGTTCTTCTTCTCTTCGGCACGAGTTCCTCATCCCTATATATCCCGGAGTAGATCTTTCCAGAACCGTCATGGTTGGTCAGCCAATCAGAAAGCCGCTATCACCAAACCTTGCGCAATCGCTTTAGATTGACCAATCAGTTGTCTTCCGCTTTTTATACATTATTCTTAAATGTTCTAGAACATTCTCTCTTCATTCTGGAATGTGATTTTCTTTCTACGTAACAATAGTCATTTGAAAAAAATCAATTTCTTGCTTATTGGTGAAACCTCTAGGACCAAATTGTAGCACCAAGCTGAAGAGGGCCAACAGCCCGAAAAGCGTACTTTTTATTTTATTAATAAAGAAATTCTGAATATAGAGCAATCCATAATACATTTATATTTTAAACGGCAAAACACGTCGTAAAAGATGGAGGATTGATCCATCGAAATATCGGATTAATAAATAATCGTATTAAAATCCAAAATAGGCCTTATTTTTAAAATAAAGAAATTGTATTGGACGAATATCATGAAAAACAAATTAAATCAAAAGTGTAGTTTATTTTTGTTCCACTAGATGGCGCTCTTTCATCAAAAATTGCTCATGTGAGCGGACAGGAAATGTCTTTTGGCTTTTAATATAAATATGATTTGATGCACTAGCGCGCCATTAAACTGGCGAAACCGCTGGGAGGGTTCACTAATGATGAGCCAGGCCCTCCCATTATTTTTCCATTGCAGTAAGGGCAGTAGAAATTGATTTATTTTCAAAAAGAATCTTACGCCTTTAAAATAATTTCGAATTTGGATAAAAATGATTATCATGGGTGTTATATGTATTTGAGATATATACCAATACTGAATGAACATTTTCTTATATTAATAGTTTATATAAAATAAAAAGAGACAAAGTAAACAAATCACTTATAATGATAAGAGAGAGAGAGAGAGAGAAAATGATAAACAATTTAATCTCGAGATATCATTCAACCAGCACGTATCATCCAACCATCACGCACGTATATTTCAAAATAAATTTGATTTTCAAACAGAAATAATGTAATATATTTTTTCTCTCAATATATAATAAGTATTTAAACTATGTATATAATAATGTGTATATAAAAATTGTATTTATTATTAAGTAGTTAACGTGATAATCCTGTTGAAGTACTGACAAGTCCGAAAGTTTGAAAATAAAAAGTTGCACAAGAAACTTAACCCTGGAAACTTTTTTTTATTTTATAATAATTTAACTTTTAAGTAGATTTTAAAATCTATAATTACTTTTTGATTATGTGTTTGTGTGCGGTTTTGACTGTGGTTTTGATTAATGTATAGAGACTGTAGGAAAACCAATGGAATCTCTGTCAATTAAATTCTTTCCCGAATTGTTTCATTCATTGATCTTCATTAAATTGGGGAAGCCACTCATTGGAATGTATTGGGTATCTTTCTGTCAATATTGGATTCTTTGTTTAATTCTCTTAAGATGGTTTCTATGCTATTGTTTTGTATGTAGTAATCTTCAATAAAGGTCACTGTAATATCTTTCAGAGTTATTGTCTCAATCCCGATATACATGCTAAAAGGTACAACTTCCTTAAGTTTTGTCCATGAGTGTATATTGGTTATCTCGTGTGTCTTCAATAAAGGTTACTGTAATATCTTTCAGAGTTATTGTCTCAATCTCGATATACATGCTAAAAGGTACAACTTCCTTAAGTTTTGTCCATGAGTGTATATTGTTTATCTCGTGTGTCTTCAATAAAGGTCATTGTAATATCTTTCAGAGTTATTGTCTGAATCCCGATATACATGCTAAAAGGTACAACTTCCTTAAGTATCGTCCATGAGTGTATATTGGTTGTCTCATGTGTCTTCAATAAAGGCCACTGTAATATCTTTCAGAGTTATTGTCTCAATCCCGATATACATGTTAAAAGGTACAACTTCCTTAAGTTTTGTCCATGAGTGTATATTGGTTATCTCGTGTGTCTTCAATAAAGGTTACTGTAATATCTTTCAGAGTTATTGTCTCAATCCCGATATACATGCTAAAAGGTACAACTTCCTTAAGTTTTGTCCATGAGTGTATATTGGTTATCTCGTGTGTCTTCAATAAAGGTTACTGTAATATCTTTCAGAGTTATTGTCTCAATCCCGATATACATGCTAAAAGGTACAACTTCCTTAAGTTTTGTCCATGAGTGTATATTGGTTATCTCGTGTGTCTTCAATAAAGGTTACTGTAATATCTCTCAGAGTTATTGTCTCAATCCCGATATACATGCAAAAAGGTAAAACTTCCTTAAGTGTTGTCCATAAATTTCTGTCCATCAGGCAAACGAGACAGAAATTAAATCGCTTGACTTTGAAATTGATATCAATCAAGAACAAATCTCTCGTCAAAATAGACGCTAAAACCAGACGCCATCTATTGACCGTCACCACAAACTAGCGGCCTCAGGTCGGTGACAAAGCCACAACACCAGCTTTGGTAAACTGAGAAGTGTCCACCTAGAGACCATGGTTTCTGGCTAATGGCCCTCGTCAGTCTAGGGCGAACTTTATTCCATGAGATCCACACGGGATCTAATGGAATCTTGACAATCTGCCAAAAAGGTGTTTTGCTGGTAAAGTGGCTGGGCCAAATCTATGGCTGAAATAAAGATGGACAATTTTGCCGGGAGGATCTATATAAAGGTCTCTAGGTGGACACTTCTCAGTTTACCAAAGCTGGTGTTGTGGCTTTGTCACCGACCTGAGGCCGCTAGTTTGCAGCGACGGTCAATAGATGACACTTATATGGTTCCGGTAATAATCAAATTTGCATATAGGATAACTTAAGAAAATCAAGATCATAAACAGATTGGTCTAGATAAACCCAAGAAAAAACATTTCTTCAATTAACGGGATTGAGACAATAACTCTGAAAGATATTACAGTGACTTTTATTGAAGACACACGAGATAACTAATATACACTCATGGACAAAACTTGCCATACCACATTGGAAACACCGGTTGTCGTCAGATCACCAAAGTTAAGCAATGTAGAGCCCGGTCAGTACTTGGGAGCGTGACCACCTGGGAACACCGGGTGATTATGGCAGTTACCTTTTTTTTTTAAATATATTTAATTTAGCCGCCTCAAAAATAAAGATTTTTTAACCACTTTGTGAGCCTGAAAATGAAAAAAAAAAAGATAGTAAAAGCTATCATATTTAATGATAATAATGAAATATATCAAAATTCGAAACTATTATAGACGCGTATGATTCTTTTTAAAAATAAACAATTTCTACTGCCTTTACTGCAATGGAAAAATTAATGGGAGGGCCTGGCTCATCAGTGGTGAACCCTCCCAGTGGTTTCGCCAGTTTTATCTACCATACTGCTGTTATATTGCATTTTTAGATATTCCTTTCATAGTGATACTGATGCTAGACTCTTGGAATGGGTATTTTAGATGAAATATGGACATAAACTTTGAGGACAGTAGAATTACATACAATTATAATTTTTTCATTACAGTAAGGACAGTAGATATTGTTTATTTTTAAAAAAATCATACGTGTCTATAATAGTTTCGAATTTTGATAACAGATGGCGCGCTAATGCATCATAATGAAATATATATATAGATTCTCCGCTAGGTGGCCAAGTTGAGCGGTCGTGAAATTCTTCGGCTCCCGATAAGTAAATATTTTAAACTTATTATTTGCCTTTTTGTGCTTCTACTTGGGTTACGCCTTCTTGTGAGTGTCCTGACGTTGGCCTATAGTTTATATATTCTCTACGAAGATCATGAAGCTGATTTTATTTATTTCTATAATTAATATCTTCATTTTTGCTAGAGAAGCTGCTGTGATCACTAGATATGTAAATTTTCGCGCTAAATCTTTTGTTTGTTATGAAAATAACTGCGAAGTTATATACAAGGTATGTCCCATAAGTTCCCGGACTGGGTCCATAAAAAAATAAATAAATGAAAAATGTGAATGAATTTGACTGTTTATTATAGAAAAAATATCTGGCTACACGGTGGTACCAATATCGAGGCGGTACTTGCGCGCGTGCCAAGGTTATTCGAATTTATTTAAAGGTCACACCTAGCGCTGCGGCGATTTTACGATGGAACAAAAATTGAAGCAGAGGATTTGCATAGAATTTTGTGTGAAACTTCAAATATCAGCAACCGAAACTTTTTAAATGCTTAATAAAGCATTCCCCAATGACGCCCCAAAGAGAACAACTGTTTTTGAATGGCATTCTAGATTTAAAGCTGGCAGAATTTCCATTGAAGAATATCCTCGTCAAGGACGCCCAAAATTTCAAAGGACTGATGAAAATGTGCAAAAAATCACCGATTTGATAAAAGAATATCCTCGAACCACTTTGCTGGAGCTAGAGCAAGACACAGGCATCTCTAAAACAACGATTGGAAGGATCGTAACCGAAGATTTGAAGCTCAAAAAGACTCCTGCAAAATTCATCCCAAGATTCCTCACCAATGAGCAAAAACTGTGTCGGCTTGCAACCTGTGAGGACATGATGGAAATGACAAGAACGGATACAGAATAGAAAGACAAGATAATCACAGGCGACGAGACATGGGTCTATGGCTATGACCCTGAAACCAAACCTCAATCTGCCGAGTGGAGAGGTTAGGGTGAGCCTAGACCCAAAAAAAATCCAGAAACAAGGTGTTGCTGGTCGCTTTTTCGGATAACAAGGGCATTGTTCATCACGAGTATCTTCCTGCAGGCCAAACAGTTAGGAAATGTATTTGGGCATTCTTCGCCGTCTAAGGGAAGCGATTCGAAAAAAAAGGCCAGAAAAATGGACTAATTGTGGCTGGATCCAGTGTTGGGCATTAAAAAATTATTTTTCAATTAAATTGAAGTGCAATTAACAATAAATTAATTGTTAATTAGAAAAGTGCAATTAACAATTAATTAATTGTTAATTGTATGAATACAATTAACAATTAATTAATTGTTAATTGTAAAAATACAATTAACAATTGATTAATTGTTAATTGTGAAAATTACAATTAACAATTAATCAATTGTTAATCTTTAATAAATCATTTTAATTAATATTTGCCCAACACTGCCTGAGATAAAAAGTGTTTTTATTAAATACAACACACGTTTACCATCGTCAGCTGCAGTTGAACGCCTTTTTTCTTTTGCGACAATGACAAATCTGCCAAAGAGTCACAAATTGTCGGACAGCATGTTCGAGAAGAGAGTGGTACTGAAATGCAGTGTTGGGCATTAAAAAATTATTTTTCAATTAAATTGAAGTGCATTAACAATTAATTAATTGTTAATTAGAAAAGTGCAATTAACAATTAATTAATTGTTAATTGTATGAATACAATTAACAATTAATCAATTGTTAATCTTTAATAAATCATTTTAATTAATATTTGCCCAACACTGGCTGGATCCTACACCATGACAATGCTCGCCCTCACACAGCGCACTTGATGACTAGCTTTTTGGCGAAAAACGGGACACAAATCCTACTTCAACCACCCTATTTCCCAGACATCGCACCAAATGACTTTTTCCTGTTCCCCAAACTTAAAGCAGTTCTAAAAGGAAGACATTTTGACACCAGGGATGACATAATAGAAAAATCGCCGTTAGCATTGAAGAGCATTCCAAAAGAGGCTTATAAAAACTGTTTCGACAATTGGGAGAAACGATGGCGCTGGTGCGTTGAAGCAAGGGGGGATTACTTTGAAAAGTTTTAATAAAAAAAATAAATAAAATCTTACCTTTTTTTTTATGGACCCAGTCCGGGAACTTATGGGACATACCTTGTATTTTATTAATGCTGGAAAGGGAACCCGTCGATGTATTATTTTAATGCTACTGCTCATGTCAGGTATTGAACCAAATCCTGGCCCCAAACAGACAAGGCAAGCAACATTAGATGCAGGCAAAGATAAAGATTTGCATGATCTAATTTTAGCACTTTCAACTAAGATAGATGACTTTGGTAAAAAAAAATGGAAACTAGACTTGTTTCGGTAGAACAAGGATTGGACAAAATAAATCAGCGCCTACAACACTTCGAGTCATCATTGGAAACCACTTCTAAAGCTGTCTCGCTTAATACAAATAGAATATCCGATCTCGAGAGACGGTTGGAGCTTGAAGAGATGAGGCAGAGGGAAAAGAACCTGATTATTTACGGCCTAGAAGGAGCAGAAAACGAAACCCCTGAAGAATCTCGAGGTTTGATCCAAGATCTGCTTTCAAACACGATGCAAATTTCTGAAGATCTCAAAATTGAACAGTGTTGAAGATTGACAAAAAAAGCTAACTCGCCGCTGCTTATTGAGTTGCCTGATTTCAAGCAAAGAATTCTGCTTTTTAGGAACGCTTTCAAACTCAGGGACAAAAAGATATTCATAAATAAAGATTACCCTCCAACTATTAGAGACCAAAGGATATTGCTAATTAGCAAGCGAAAAGAACTCATAAAGAACAAGAAATGGAAAACCTAATAATACCAAAATGTGAACAGAGAAAATGTATTAAATAGATCATTTAAAAGAATATTCTTTATAAATAATAAAAAAACATAATTATACAAATATTTCAATATAAATTTACAGATAATCTATTTAAATAAATAAAAACAGACAAATAATTCAATAAATTGTCAATAGTCACATTTTAAAAGCAACCAAACGACACCAATTCAGTATAGAAGACCAATAAATAAAAACATACGAAATATTCAGTAAATAGTCAATAGTCACATTTCAAAATAAACCAAACGACACCAATTCAGTATAGAAGACCAATAAATAAAAACAGACGAAATAATCAGTAAATAGTCAATAGTCACATTTTAAAATAAACCAAACGACACCAATTCAGTATAGAAGCCAATAAATAAAAACAGACGAAATATTCAGTAAATAGTCAATAGTCACATTTCAAAATAAACCAAACGACACCAATTCAGTATAGAAGACCAATAAATAAAAACAGACGAAATATTCAGTAAATAGTCAATAGTCACATTTCAAAATAAACCAAACGACACCAATTCAGTATAGAAGGCCAATATAGCATTTACGCCCTTGACAAGAAGTAAATAACTCAAATTTTTCAAAAAAAGAACTTTGTCCACAGTCTAGCAATTCAGAACAAAAAGGCTTTCGATTGAATTAATTACATCGTTGAATCCTTTTTAAAAGCTAATTTGCATAATCCGCCATTTTTGTTTTGTCGAATAAGCCTATTTTTATGTGAGCAGAAGATGCGGATAATTACGTTAGAGGCAATCGAATGGCTTCCTTTGTGCACGTCACTAAAAAAAAAAAGAATAAAAAAAGGAAACAAAGGTTGCTTTCTGTTAATTCAATGGTTCATAGAATACATTGGGGATAGATTTGTTGCAAACGATTGAATAGAAACTTAGAATTAGGATGGTCAAATATAAATAAATACTTTTTGGTATAATACATATTCATTGCTGTCTTTACAAGTTAAAATAATCAATAAGTAATACAGAGTTAAGTTTCTTTAACTGTTTTGTTATTTATTTTGCTTTCAGGCCAATACGGCTTTCAAAAAGAAAACTAGAAGTATAACTTCCAGCTAACTATTCACCCCGAAAATAAAGATTTATATATAGGTTTTTAACTTTTAATTAGACATTTTAAATTTATATTTCGACATTTTATTGAGATTTTAATTTAGACACATGGAATTTTCTATAAATAGTTGAAAATGTTAATTGAAATGAAAAATGTCTAAATAAAAATTCAAAATGTCTAAATTAAAATTGAAAATGTCTATATTGAAATGAAAGATGTTACGCAAACTTTGACTTTATCATCATCGGTGCTGACGTCACACACTACTCTTCAGACTTTTCTGGTTTGATTTTTCGCTCGCTTGTTTTTACAATATTTGTATTGGTACAAGTTGTTCCTTAAATAAATACATATATTAGTTTATATCAAATAGGATGTCCTCGTAACTACAATATAAGTGAGTACAAAACAACTTGGAATCTTTAAATAGAAACATCGTATTTTTGCTAAGCCTATCATAAGATGTCTAAATTAAAATGAA